ACCAGTTGAGGGCACAGGAAAGCCTCGGGGCTTCTGCGAAGTGAGGCGCGTGGTTTCGGGGGTTCCTATATCCCCCTTGGCATGAAATAAATACATACATAAATGAATAAATAAATAAAAAAAATATATTTTTTTTTTCCTTCTTTATTCTTGTTTTTGTAAAGCCCAAGAGGATATTAAGAATAGTATTTTTATTAAGGTTCTAAGGGGGAGTAGAGGTTCGGGGTTTGGGGGTTTGGGGTGATTGGGCTTTGAGGGTCATTGGGGTTTGGGGTTTAGGGTTTAGGGTTGTTGGGGTTTGAGGTTTAGTGTTTTTTTTTTCATGGGGGTTTTTGGGGGTTTTTGGGTTTTGGGGTTTGGGGTTTGGGGGAAAACAATAATCCCTATATTACCCTTAAGCTTAAGAACCTCAAAAGAATGAAGAATAGTAGTGGTTCAGGGTTTGCGTTCTCGGATTTTAGAACTCAGACTTCTGGGATCTGAGGTGTTTTAGTTTTTCTGTTGAATTTAGCTTTCGGTTCGGAGCAGGCCAGGGACGTGAACCAAACAAGAAAAACTCTGCAGACGCTGAAAAGTTGCTATGTGTTTTCCCCCCCACCTTTCAAGTACCTTTTTCAAGGTGTGGGTTTCAACTCCTTGACCCCACCAAGTGCGAAACTGTCCCGACTTTATGAAGTCTTCGCTCGCGAAATGGGAAACTGTTTGGGGTCTATGCTGGCAGAATACTCGTCTGTAGGTGGCCCCGTTGATTCTGAGGACCAAGCCCTTGCTAATCCCTAAACCCTAAACCCTAAACCCTAAACCCTAAACCCTAAACCCTGAACCCTGAACCCTAAACCCTAAACCCTAAACCCTAAACCCTAAACCCTAAACCCTAAAGCCTACGCCTTAAGTGAACCCCGAACCCTGAAGTCCCTAAACCCGAAACCCCAAACGCCCCTTAAGCCCAAGAACTCTAGCCCCAAACCCTAAACTCAGTCTCGACCCCAAAACCCCCTAAACCTTAAGCCCTAAATCCAAAACCCTAAACCTTCAACTCCCCAACAACCCTAAACCCTAAACCATAAGCCCTAAACCCTATACCCTAAACCTTCAACCCTAAACCCTAGCCCCTTAACCACACCATGGCAATCCTTGCGAAAAAAGGGAATCCTCGCCTGGTAGGAGCCGAACGTGGCGCACCCACTTCGAGAGGCTCTCTGGCCGCAACCCTAAACCCTAAACCCGAAACCCGAAACCCTAAACCCTAAACCCTAAACCCTAAACCCTAAACCCTAAACCCTAGCCTTAAACCCAACCCCAAAAAACCCCAAACCTCTGCTGTAAACCTTAGACCCCTAAATCCCTAAATGAGCCGCCAACAAACCCAACGCATTTAACCTCCAACTTCACCGACGTCAATCCCTCAACCCCTCAACCCCTCTACCCCCCAACCCCCAAACCCTTAAACCTAAACCCTTAAACCCTAAACCCTGAACCCTAAACCCCGATCACTACTTGTTATATATAATAGGCCCCCCATAAAGCCCTCCACGCAGCCCTCGTTCGGGCGGTGTTTGGTATCCAGGGTTCCGCAGGCATCGACACAGCGTTGTCGGAAAGTGGAATGCTCCCGAGAGTTGGGTAGGGAACCCTCTTCCTTAGAACCCTGCACCCTAGACCCTAGACCCTAGACCCTAAACCCTAAACCCTAAACCCTAAACCCTAAACCCTAAACCCGAAAGTCCCTAAAGTCCCTCCAGTCCCCGAAGCCCCTAAAGTCCCCGAAGTCCTGGGTGCGGTGCCCTTGTGCATGTCACTGTGCTCCCTCTCTGTACCCTAAACCCTAAACCCTAAACCCTAAACCCTAAACCCTAAACCCTAAACCCTAAACCCTAAACCCTAAACCCTAAACCCTAAACCCCAAACCCCAAACCCTAAACCCTAAACCCTAAACCCTAAACCCTAAACCCTTAACCTTACACCCTAAACACCCTAAACCCTAAACCCTAGATCCTAAACCCTAAACCCTACGCCCACTACTAGGCCCTAAGCATAAAAAACGCGGAAGGGATGGGCGCCAGTGCCAACAGCTGATGCAGATGGCCCAACACCGGCTCAGGGATTCTTGAACGCGATGGGTTGGTTAGGGTCTGGGGTTAGGGTTTAGGGTTTAGGGTTCAGGGTTTAGGGTTTTGGGTTAACGTTTAGGGTTTTAGGTTAGTTCAGGGTTTAGGGTTGAGGGTTTAGGGTTTTGGGTTTAACGTTTAGGGTTTTAGGTTAGTTCAGGGTTTGGGCTTTAGGGGTTAGGGTGTGGGGGGTTTAGGGGTCTCGGGGCTTGGGGGTTCAAGGCTTTAGGGGCTTGGGGTTTGTGGTTTAGGGGTTTATGGGTTTGGGTCAGCGTTTTCGTGGTCTTTGTTGCTTTAGTTTAGGGTTCGCAGTGTTTAGGTAGTAGTCGTAGAGGGTATGATGGGTATGGGTGTCTGAGTTTCAGGCTATCACCTGCTACAGTACAGGTTTCCACGCTGCTAACATGCCACCCAGCTTTACATGCCATCATTGCCACGATTGCCATCGTTGTCTCCGCTTGATGAACTGACACGAAACAGCATTCTTTTCGCACAGGGTGATAGACAAAGGCCCCGTTTTGAACATGGCGAAGATGTCGAAAAAGAGATGGTGCTCAAGAAGCGCAATCTTGGATGTTAAAAACTCAAGTTCCTGAAGCTTGCCGAGTGTCCAATGATTGTAATTTGCGGAACGAGGTCGTGCTGCTCTTGGCCAGTTCGACTTGCGCCACATCCGCCCAAGGCACCGGCTTCTGTTTCCTGGCCCGTCTGTCAGATCTTATTATGGCTATTATTATTATTCATTATATAATTAACATTGTTATTTTGATTGATATTTCCGTACCCGCCAAAATTCCCTGGCTCCCTGCAGCCGAGAGCCTCTCAGGGCCCTTGCGCCTTCCGGCTTCGCGAACGTCGTACCATCCTTGCGGATTTGTCCGGTTCTCCTTTCAGCCGTCAGAGTCCGCAACCGCCTTGAATCCCTGATTTGTCCTGGAGTGCGCATCCTTAAGTATTCCGACCGTATCCCCACCAAGCCCGACCACCGCCTTCGTCTTTCTGGCTGACTTGCTGAGCCCAATTCTCACGCCTGCTCGCTGGGGACTTCGCTTTGCGCAGGGCACGCTGTAGCCTTTTTCGGGTGTAGTCGGTCAACCTTTAGTTAGTTCCCCTGGGATACTGGCCAAGTAAGGCCTCTGAAAGCCTAAGGCGCTAAACTACTTCAAGCCCGAACACCCTTCAAGCACTCAAAGCTGCAAAGAAGCCCAGGCTTCTCAGCTGACCCAGCAGGGCCACGAACTTTGGGGCGCCGTGGGCTGTGCCTAGGTGGCGCTGGAATGCAGTTGTTGTTCTTCTTGTTTTGTACTTTTGTGCTGTGATTGCCATTTGTAGTTAGCTGTCTTTTCTTGATTTTGTTGGGGATTGGTTTCGAGGGTTTTGCGGGATACGCGGGGGGTGTTCGAATGTTCCATGGCCAGGGCTTCCCTTTGGTTCTTCAGGGCTTCGTGCTTTCCCAGTTGACCAAGATGGTGGAACATAGACTGTAACCCCTCCCTCTGAGACTAAACCCCACCCACCCCCGAATTTTAAAACGCCCCCCCCCCCCCCCCCTTTCCCGAGGAAATTATCCCGGCCAGAACTCCTTTTAGTGAAAAGGAACGTCTGCGTTTGCTGGCCTCAGAGGCTTGGGCTTTTTTCCCATCATTCCTGTTCACGGACAATGATATCTTGTGTGCATCAATCTGGAATGACAGGAGCCGTAACAAGAGGAGCCTTTTTCACGCAGATTGACGAAGAAAGAACTTGTATGAGCTGCCCACATGACCCTTAAAAGGTTTCCGGTCCAGATGCCCCGGCGGATAACAGTACTCAGTAGTATGGGACATGTGATCCCAATTTGCGGGTAAGCGGCGTCGGCCACGTGCCAGACCGGCACTCAAGGGACTGGACAGGGTTTAGGGTTTAGGGTTTAGGGTTTCGGGTTTAGGGTTTAGGGTTTAGGGTTTAGGGTTTTAGGGTTTAGGGTTTCGGGTTTAGGGTGACATGCTGTGCAAAAGGCGGACTTCATGCGCGCGAAACCTGCAGCGACTCTAAGCCTTAAACTCTGAGCCCTACTCAGCCCAAGACCTCATTCAGCTGGGCTCCCAGCGGCCCCCCCCCCCCCCCCCCCGGCCCCCTCTCCCAAAAGAGGTCCCGGAAGTCGCAATGTCATTGTTCTGGTAGACATGATTCGTTGTTGTTGGTTCGGGCTCGTGGTGCTTTGTCGTCCCGCCAAAGTCTCCAGACCGCTCAAACTAACCCCCGAACCCCTAAACCCCTAAACCCCTAAACCCCTAAACCCCTAAACCCCTAAACCCTAAACCCTAAACCTTAAACCCTAAACCCCGAAACCCTAAATCTTCAACCCGAAGCCCTGAACTAGAACCATCTCAGGCAGCCTCTCCCACCAGGCTCGCGGAACCGCGGGCTCGGGCAGTTGGTGCTGTGATGGGCTGCTATTCTCATACGGAACAGGGTTTTCTTGCCAGCGCCCCCAAAAGAACACCCATGTGCATGTATGTATGTACATACATATATATATATATACACTCACCAACACTTAAATGGAACCCTTTCTCTCGCATTCACCAACAGCAGTAGTATAAGCCTGGCTTCATATGGGTCCCTTCTTTGGGCTTTGCTTAGGTTTGGGGAGCTCTGCTGTCCTTCTCCGAGCAGCTCCCCCCTCCTTCGCCCTAAGCCTTTAAACCTCAACCCTGGGTTTAGGGTTTAGGGTTTAGGGTTTAGGGTTTAGGGTTTAGGGTTTAGGGTTTAGGGTTTAGGGTTTAGGGTTTAGGGTTTAGGGTTCAGGGTGGAGGGTTTAGGGTTTAGGGTGGGGTTTGGGGAATCCACACCCTAATGTCTTGAACCTAGAGCCCGGGCCAGTAAAGCAGTGTCGCCCCTGCGCTTCACTTAGAAGGGCTCAAGCCGCAGGCAGAGGGCAGGCGGAGGGCTGACATCATCCCAATCCGCAGGCAGAGGGCCGACATCATCAGCATCATCGCCCTTGCGTTTCACCTGGAACGGGCCCAGCCCCGGGGGGAGGGCCGACATCATCAGCATCATCACCCCTGCGCTTCGCCTGCGAGGGGCGTCATCGCCCCTGCGTTTCACCTGGAACGGGCCCAGCCCCAGGCGGAGGGTTGACATCATCCCAATCCGCAGGCAGAGGGCCGACATCATCAGCATCATCGCCCTTGCGTTTCACCTGGAACGGGCCCAGCCCCGGGGGGAGGGCCGACATCATCAGCATCATCACCCCTGCGCTTCGCCTGCGAGGGGCGTCATCGCCCCTGTGTTTCACCTGGAACGGGCCCAGCCCCAGGCGGAGGGTTGACATCATCCCAATCCGCAGGCAGAGGGCCGACATCATCAGCATCATCGCCCTTGCGTTTCACCTGGAACGGGCCCAGCCCCGCGGGGAGGGCCGACATCATCAGCATCATCACCCCTGCGCTTCGCCTGCGAGGGGCGTCATCGCCCCTGCGTTTCACCTGGAACGGGCCCAGCCCCAGGCGGAGGGTTGACATCATCCCAATCCGCAGGCAGAGGGCCGACATCATCAGCATCATCGCCCTTGCGTTTCACCTGGAACGGGCCCAGCCCCGGGGGGAGGGCCGACATCATCAGCATCATCACCCCTGCGCTTCGCCTGCGAGGGGCGTCATCGCCCCTGCGTTTCACCTGGAACGGGCCCAGCCCCAGGCGGAGGGTTGACATCATCCCAATCCGCAGGCAGAGGGCCGACATCATCAGCATCATCGCCCTTGCGTTTCACCTGGAACGGGCCCAGCCCCGGGGGGAGGGCCGACATCATCAGCATCATCACCCCTGCGCTTCGCCTGCGAGGGGCGTCATCGCCCCTGCGTTTCACCTGGAACGGGCCCAGCCCCAGGCGGAGGGTTGACATCATCCCAATCCGCAGGCAGAGGGCCGACATCATCAGCATCATCGCCCTTGCGTTTCACCTGGAACGGGCCCAGCCCCGGGGGGAGGGCCGACATCATCAGCATCATCACCCCTGCGCTTCGCCTGCGAGGGGCGTCATCGCCCCTGCGTTTCACCTGGAACGGGCCCAGCCCCAGGCGGAGGGTTGACATCATCCCAATCCGCAGGCAGAGGGCCGACATCATCAGCATCATCGCCCTTGCGTTTCACCTGGAACGGGCCCAGCCCCGGGGGGAGGGCCGACATCATCAGCATCATCACCCCTGCGCTTCGCCTGCGAGGGGCGTCATCGCCCCTGCGTTTCACCTGGAACGGGCCCAGCCCCAGGCGGAGGGTTGACATCATCCCAATCCGCAGGCAGAGGGCCGACATCATCAGCATCATCGCCCTTGCGTTTCACCTGGAACGGGCCCAGCCCCGGGGGGAGGGCCGACATCATCAGCATCATCACCCCTGCGCTTCGCCTGCGAGGGGCGTCATCGCCCCTGCGTTTCACCTGGAACGGGCCCAGCCCCAGGCGGAGGGTTGACATCATCCCAATCCGCAGGCAGAGGGCCGACATCATCAGCATCATCGCCCTTGCGTTTCACCTGGAACGGGCCCAGCCCCGGGGGGAGGGCCGACATCATCAGCATCATCACCCCTGCGCTTCGCCTGCGAGGGGCGTCATCGCCCCTGCGTTTCACCTGGAACGGGCCCAGCCCCAGGCGGAGGGTTGACATCATCCCAATCCGCAGGCAGAGGGCCGACATCATCAGCATCATCGCCCTTGCGTTTCACCTGGAACGGGCCCAGCCCCGGGGGGAGGGCCGACATCATCAGCATCATCACCCCTGCGCTTCGCCTGCAAGGGGCGTCTCGCCCCTGCGTTTCACCTGGAACGGGCCCAGCCCCAGGCGGAGGGTTGACATCATCCCAATCCGCAGGCAGAGGGCCGACATCATCAGCATCATCGCCCTTGCGTTTCACCTGGAACGGGCCCAGCCCCGGGGGGAGGGCCGACATCATCAGCGTCATCACCCCTGCGCTTCGCCTGAAGGGGCGTCATCGCCCCTGCGTTTCACCTGGAACGGGCCCCAGCCCCAGTTGCGTTTCACCTGGAACGGGCCCAGCCCCGGGGGGAGGGCCGACATCATCAGCATCATCACCCCTGCGCTTCGCCTGCGAGGGGGCCAACCTACAGGCAGAGGGCCGACATCATCAGCGTCATCGCCCCTGCGTTTCACCTGGAACGGGCCCAGCCCCAGGCGGAGGCTGACATCATCCCAATCCGCAGGCAGAGGGCCGACATCATCAGCATCATCGCCCTTGCGTTTCACCTGGAACGGGCCCAGCCCCGGGGGGAGGGCCGACATCATCAGCATCATCACCCCTGCGCTTCGCCTGCGAGGGGGCCAACCTACAGGCAGAGGGCCGACATCATCAGCGTCATCGCCCCTGCGTTTCACCTGGAACGGGCCCAGCCCCAGGCGGAGGGCTGACATCATCCCAATCCGCAGCAGAGGGCCGACATCATCAGCATCATCGCCCTTGCGTTTCACCTGGAACGGGCCCAGCCCCGGGGGGAGGGCCGACATCATCAGCATCATCACCCCTGCGCTTCGCCTGCGAGGGGCATCATCGCCCCTGCGTTTCACCTGGAACGGGCCCAGCCCCAGGCGGAGGGTTGACATCATCCCAATCCGCAGGCAGAGGGCCGACATCATCAGCATCATCGCCCTTGCGTTTCACCTGGAACGGGCCCAGCCCCGGGGGGAGGGCCGACATCATCAGCATCATCACCTCTGCGCTTCGCCTGCGAGGGGGCCAACCTACAGGCAGAGGGCCGACATCATCAGCGTCATCGCCCCTGCGTTTCACCTGGAACGGGCCCAGCCCCAGGCGGAGGGCTGACATCATCCCAATCCGCAGGCAGAGGGCCGACATCATCAGCATCATCGCCCTTGCGTTTCACCTGGAACGGGCCCAGCCCCGGGGGGAGGGCCGACATCATCAGCATCATCACCCCTGCGCTTCGCCTGCAAGGGGGCCAACCTACAGGCAGAGGGCCGACATCATCAGCGTCATCGCCCCTGCGTTTCACCTGGAACGGGCCCAGCCCCAGGCGGAGGGCTGACATCATCCCAATCCGCAGGCAGAGGGCCGACATCATCAGCATCATCGCTCCCCAGCCCCAGGGGGAGGGCCGACATCATCAGCATCATCACCCCTGCGCTTCGCCTGCGAGGGGGCCAACCTACAGGCAGAGGGCCGACATCATCAGCGTCATCGCCCCTGCGTTTCACCTGGAACGGGCTGAGGGCTGACATCACCCCAATCTGCAGGCAGAGGGCCGACATCATCAGCATCATCGCCCTTGCGTTTCACCTGGAACGGGCCCAGCCCCGGGGGGAGGGCCGACATCATCAGCATCATCACCCCTGCGCTTCGCCTGCGAGGGGTCCAACCTACAGGCAGAGGGCCGACATCATCAGCGTCATCGCCCCTGCGTTTCACTTGGAACGGGCCCAGCCCCAGGCGGAGGGCTGACATCATCCCAATCCGCAGGCAGAGGGCCGACATCATCAGCATCATCGCCCTTGCGTTTCACCTGGAACGGGCCCAGCCCCGGGGGGAGGGCCGACATCATCAGCATCATCACCCCTGCGCTTCGCCTGCGACGGGGCCAACCTACAGGCAGAGGGCCGACATCATCAGCGTCATCGCCCCTGCGTTTCACCTGGAACGGGCCCAGCCCCAGGCGGAGGGCTGACATCATCCCTATCCGCAGGCAGAGGGCCGACATCATCAGCATCATCGCCCTTGCGTTTCACCTGGAACGGGCCCAGCCCCGGGGGGAGGGCCGACATCGTCATCAGCATCATCACCCCTGCGCTTCGCCTGCGAGGGGCCAACCTACAGGCAGAGGGCCGACATCATCAGCGTCATCGCCCCTGCTGCTGGAGCTCTAAACACGGGCTTGTCGCGTTCAGGGATTAGGGGGAGCAGCCGTTCTTAATTCCACTTGGCGCTGCTTCAACTGGGTCTTGTCCAGAAGCAAGATTGTTTTGGGGGTTTGGAGCTGTTAGGGGGGCACCAGCATTCAGGATTTCAGGGGTTAAGGTTTCAGAGTACCACTTCCTGCGAGATTTTTGGGTGTTGGGCTACAATGGGGATCTCTGCCTGCGCAGATCGTTCTGCGGAAAATCGCGGAGACTCCTGGATTGGAGTTTGCACTGGTGTTGGAAGACGACCCTGGCCTTTTTTCATGTGGTTTGGGGGTTTAGGGTTGAGAGTTTTAGGGTTTAGGGCAAAGGGTTTAGGGGCCGTAGGGGTTTAGTTCAGGGGCTTAGGGGTTCAGGGTTTCAATGTTGGCGTGGTATGCTGCCTCGTTCTTGGAGTCGCTGGTTGAGGTAATTGTGAGCTCCCTCGAACCTCGGCTCAGCCCCACCTTAGCTTTTTTTGTTTTGTTTTTCCCCTTTCATGGTTGAGGAGCCTCTTGGGTTCACCGGATTGCTCTTCGCTATGTGGCCGGGGGGGGGGGGGGTGGTTTTGGGGTTCAGGGTTTAGGGTTTCGGGTTTAGGGGGGCCAGGGGTTTTTTTTATAAAAGGTGTGGCTCGGGCCTCCTTTTTTTAAAAGGTGTGGCTCATCCCCCCCCCCCCCCCCCCCCCCCCCCCCCCCCCCCCCCCGGTCCTCTGGTCCCCTGGTCCTCTGGTCCCCTGGTCCTCTGGTCCCCTGGTCCTCTGGTTCCCTGGTCCTCTGGTCCCCTGGTCCCGTGGTCCCCTTGGTCCCGTCGTTTATTCCCGTGGCCCCCTTGGTCCCGTCCCCGTGGTCCTCTGGTTCTGCGGTCCTCTCGTCCTGTGGTCTCGCAATCCCTTTTGATATAATACATCATATAATGTAAAATATATAGTTTGCAATGTGATATATATATAATATTATATCTATATAAATATATTATATTATATATTATATATTATATATTATATATTATATATTATATATTACATATTATACATTATATATTATATATTATATATTATATATTATATATTATATATTATATATTATATATTATATATTATATATTATATATTATATATTATATATTATATATTATATATTATATATTATATATTATATATTATATATTATATATTATATATGTATAACATACAGTACATAG